GGTGATTAATTCCAGGACAGATTTCGCACATTTTACGTATCCGATAAAGGTAGATGTACAGATACATATTACTTTAATTCCAACATTTGCTGGTTTACCTTCAGTACATTCATCTGCTTTTTGCAATAATTATTATTTTTTTTAAGTGTAAATTTGGAATAATTCTTAATTTTTTCTTCCGTACGGTATGTTGCTACCAAATTTTGGGCAAGATTGATATTTTCCCTGCGCTTATGGTAGCTGGAGTGCACACATACTTCGAAATGGCTTCACCAGAAGATGGGGGTTACTTCCCCAGCGATCAATACTATTACCCCTACGACCGCCAGAGCATTATGCATGCGGGCTTTGATGATTATGCCTTCCCAAACACTTACACGTTGGCGCTCTGGGACGGAACGCCATCACAGTTCATCGGGCCGTCTAAAACCAATCCTAAGCTGACGTATACGGATACTGTGAAGATGCGCGATAGATACCGGTGCCCTCCAGTTAACGGAACACCACCGAGGGGTCGACGAAGCGCAGAAATTACGGACCTATGAGGACGAATCAAATTCTGCTTGCCGCCGGCCCGCCCCGCTTCTTTTACTGTTTTTCATCGACCCCTAATGATACTTAGCTATTGTCCAACCGATTTTGCAATCTATCTTAATAATTACTAATTATTATAATGATCGACTTTTAAGTGTTATCTGTGCTGGCATAAAAATGTGCATGTGTGCCAGTCGGGCAACGTTGTTTTAATTATGCCGGTAAATATTATGATTAATTTTAGGACTGCTTTCCTTTGATACAGGTTTTCTTGTGCAGGTTTACTGCGAACTGGCCACTGGCGAATAAAAGTTGTCATGCTTCTTTGAAACGCTTGCAAAAAATGTGTTAGAACTTACAAGTACAGTACTTGTACTGTACTATAAACAGCATTTATTAATTACTAATCTCAGCACGGTAACGATAAAGAAATCTACCTCTAAAGGCGGTCTTCAGGCTCCGGCTTTAGCTCTCACAAAAGTTGGTTTCTTAACCTTTATCCAAAAATCGCAGCAATATGCAGCGTACAGTAGCAGTGCGCAGGTGCTTTGCGCTCTTATTGTTTGGGGCAAATGAAAAAATACTTCCGAAAAGAAAACTGATTTTCGGACAATCCGGACAATACAAAACCTGTACGCGGATTGTCGAATTTCATTCTACGTCAATAGAAAATTTGATGTAAATATGATGTTGTACACTCTGTAAGTGCACAATATACGCACTTTGCTTGATTCCGGTGTAACGTTAACATGAAACAGTTAATAGCTTTGCACTTCCTTGATCAAATAAATTATTCGAATCTTCTTAATAAAAATTTTTTGGTTAATTTCACAGTTGCCATTATGCTTTGAAAAAAAGATATCGTTAAGAAGAAACTTCCAGCTTTGTTAGCTTTCTAGAGCTTGCAAAAGTGTTGTTAGCGAACCAGAACATTGTGGCCCATCGGGAATCAGTTTGGTTAAGTCAGCAGTTATTTTAATCTAAAATATGGTTGCGACGTCAAACTGGAACCAAAGAATACTTTACTGAAATTCGAGCTTTTTTGCAAAATCTGTTTATATACGATATAAACATCCGTGTACATAAAACGGTACATCGCCTCCGTATGTTCGTCACATTGGTCACATGATAGCTATTGGCTGGATGACTCCGAACATGTCTTTTTAGTAGCGGGAGGACCGCCCAAACCAAAAGTGAAAAAATCTCTTTTTTCGATGCCTCTTTTAGTCTTTTTGCGGTTGTCTTGCGTGTTTTCAAACTCAGCCTTTTCGAACAGCTTTCTGTCAACGAACAAAGTCTCTCATAGTGCAAGTTGTTTTTTTCTAAAATTCTGTTCAAAACATCTCCGAACATCAACTCTGAGAGCGCCTTAACTCCATCGGTTCGAACGCACTTTATAGACATGTGCGCGTTGTTGGGATCCTGTAACAAAAGCAGCGTAAAAATGAATCAAAATTTACGCTAATGGTGACCATTGTTTTTTTATTGTAGATTGACTGTTTTACTGTCAGCCGCTTTGTTAACCGTAGTGCCTTCATCTCTGTGACAGGACATTCTGATTCGATAGTCTACAACCTCGTGCAGGATTGTCCTGATTGTTGTAGACCTTGAGCTGATTACACAAACAAGGAGCTGTTTTGCAACGGGAAGTTCTCCCAAAAAATACTCATGTCGGTCAGCTTAACGTATATGATGGTGGATCTAGGAAGAATCCACGGACAGAGACAGAAACGGAATCTATCCTGCAGAGTGAGCAGTGTTGTATACTACGAGTTATGCGGAAACGCAAGACACCCGACAATCAACTGCACACTTTATATCCCATTCACATAGCACTACAGATGCTCCCGCAGTAGAATGCTGCGGGGCTAAAGAACAGCAAGTTACTCAGACGACGATGGCTAGCAACTGAAGAATCTACCAGATCGAAGAGCTGGTAGATGGAGAAAATCACTAGCAAAAACAGCAAAACAACTTAGCACCCGCACCAGTGCGGGTGTGCGGGGAGGCCACTCCTCCTCTCACGTATGTCACTAAATTAACGTGCTCCCTTAATACTCAGACTCATCAACCCTTCTAAGAAATTCTCTAAAGATATGTCGAGAAAGATTAGCGACTGTATCTATACAGGCAACCTTCGCTCTGGGGTGTTTCAGCGCCAGGAAATTGGTATCGAGATTCAGTGAGGAAACGCACTGTCCGTCCTCGGTACATTTAGCGAAATGGCTGAGAAAGAGGATGTGTATTTTGCCTCTAGATTAGCATGCCCGAACGGGAATAATGTTATGGATTTTTGTTCTTGTTTACTTTGTTTAAACGGCGTGAAACTATTCAGTAAAGTTCCCGTATTAAGGGATTTGGCCCGGTACATAGCACAAATTTCGTGTACTGATGAACTTTCGCAGCACTCCCCAAACACTTTTTGCATTGCTTTATGGTATTTGTAGCCAAAATTAGATACGTAGTGTAGGTTTGCTGCGCGCAAACGAATTACCGGTAGGATTATAGGGTAACAAAATTCTAAAAAGTTTAAAAGCATTCCGGTGTACCAAAGTCTCATTATCGACCGATCTTCTTCAAATTTTGCACGTAAATGCACATAACCGTAAAATTGTTTTGGTACGGATCTATAATTTTTTTCGAATTTTAAAATGAATTTCAAACATTTTAAAACTCGACAAAAGTCGTAGAAGCCTGGCTCCGTACCAAAACAATCTTCATGGTTATATGCATTCAAGTGCAAAATTTGAAAGGGATCAGAGACTTTTGGTACACCTGAATGCATTTAAACTTTTTAGAATTTTGTTACCCTTATAACTCCGCAACCGGATGTTGCGCGCGCAAACGGATTTCACAACTACGTATACAGTTCTTTTGGCTACAAAATACCATAAAGCAAGGCAAAAAAGTGTTCGGGAGTGCGCGACAGCGAAAGTTCCCGCGAATGTACACGAATTTAGTGCTATGTACCGGGCCAAATCCTTTAATTAGAAAAAACATCATCAGATTGCCAAAGAGTTTAATGTCAACTGGGTACTTTCTCCGCACTGCACAAGCCGGGGATGAGCATGTAAAGGTACAGCTAATGCATACTGAGCACGATGTTAGCGCTTAGCACGATGGCCACTACACTACGTTTACCGCAATGCGTAAGTTAGCTAATTAGCGAATGAATAAGTAAACCGGCGATAAATCAACAAGGTATAATTTAATCAAAAATATTGCCTAATTTAGATCCTATAAGTTGGACCATAGACGATTACAGTCCGCCAAAAATTTGTGTTGCCTGCCAACGTCAATGCCCATGAAGGGTTACGATTACATGAGTCGGTGCAATTTCGACAGCTGATCTTTATTATGTAAAAGAATCACGCAAAACACGTACGTAGGTTTGCACGCACAGCATTCACCACGCGGTTCCGATTGTCGGAAGCTGGCGAAAACCGCGGTTGCTAATCAACAGCCCAAGCGGTCGGCGAAAACAAAAACAAAATCGCCTCCAAATTTGTTTGCTTTCGGAAAACAGAACGTTCAGGGAAGTTGTCCAAACTGTAATTCTACCGCCATTGCAATAACACTGGGAAATGGCGGCACAACACCGCGCGCTGTGCCGCGTTTGTACATATCGATGCTTCGCTTGGGCAAGTCAAGGGGTAGGGGAGGGGCGCTGCGCAGCTTTTGAGAAAAATGTATTTAAACTTTTGATAAGTCTCGGGTGGTTGCAAACTACAGTGCGTAACTGCACAATGAAGCGTGCACATTAATGATATTGATCTTAGCGGCAGCATTACTAGTCACTTCCAACCGCTAACGCATTTCAAAAAGTGTTGGTGTCCATTAATATCTATTTGGCGCTAATGATCACTGCAGCTGGACCATCCGCGCCGCTGCAGCTGGAACGTCAATCGCGGGCAGCATAAAAGCGCCAGAAATGTAACATTAAACTTCAAAAATAATTCTTCGTACACTCTCATTAAGAGTATAAAATAAAAGTTTTGTGTAGGAGCAGCGTTAGCATCATCTATTTTCAGTATTCTACTGTTGTAGTGGTCAAAACACATGGAAACGGGATTTGGTGGTTTTAAATTTTTTTGCTGACCAGTGGACAATTTCTTGACCACTTCTACATTCCTGTTTTAAAGTGCCTTTTTGTGCGGTTTAATGAAGTTATTGCTTTAAACGTAATTCCTGTTCACCTAATTATTACAAAATTAAAAGTTTTATGCAGTCGACCTGAGCACTGGCGTTGACAATCGACATCGTCACCACCACTGACCTATGGTCAGCATAAGCTCACAAAAATTTCTTACTAAAATGAATTTTTTCATCGGGAAATCCCGATTTTAAATAGAAAATTCACAGTTCTTCAGGTACCGCCCGCTGGAGGGCTACGCGAAGTAATTTTCCGACGGGGAACGGTCGTAAAATTTTTCTAGTAATTATTTTTATTGTATACCGTAGTTGCTACCATGTAACGTCAGTGCAGTTTGTTTCTTGCCAAATTTTGCCAGAAAAATCTTGAAGCGTTCCTATTGATAAGAACACACGGGTGAATAATATTACTTGTTCGAGTAACTGTTTTCAAGGGCAGCACCGAAAATGAATTACAGAGCATCGGCCATTTTGTGAAGATAGTCTATCACCACCGAACTCGCCATGCCGTTCGTATCTGTCACTGTTTTCTGGCGGCGTGCCCGTGCTAAAAGCACTACATTATCTGCAGAGTAAGTCCGTCCCTGCTTGTAGTCCCATCCGCCCCTTCCTGTCCACACGCTGGGCAGATACCTCGACACGAACTCAGGATACTTCGTCCTGATGGTATAATTTCCACACGTCAACCGATCCGACCAGGAAGATTGCCGGCTGTCGGTGGTGTAGCGGCGCGGTGGCTTCTTGAAAAAGTTCCACACATTAGCCAATGCGGAGCAGCCACATTCCGCGTCGTGCACACAGAAGCGGTTGAAGTCAAGCTTGAGATACGGCCGCGATTCCCGACTGGACACGCTGGCCAGAAAACGGTCGTCGATGCGCGTCAGCTGGTTGCCGGACAGCTCAATCCATTCGACGGTGGGCATTGTGAAGAACTGACTCAGGTACACCTCTTTAATGTTGTTCATCCGCAGGGAAACTTCCTGCAACCAGAAGCAGTCTGGTAAGCATTTACTTAGCGACAGCGGCTCCTATCAGCGGTAGATTAGGCAATTAAAGGTTTAAGCGGTGGTAAAGGATGAATTTTTCATCCTTATTACTCTGTCGTTACCACCCACCGTGAGGCTGGGCGCCACCGGAATGAATACCGACCAGTCGAACCTTTTGAACAAATTCGCTTCGATTCTGATGCTGTTGAACCGGGAAGTTACCGCCTGTCCCGGCCACGCTGCCAAGGAAGCAAAGGCATCCGATGTGATGGTCGATAAGCGATTGCGCTTGAGTATTAACCTAGTTAGCATCGAGAATCCCGCAAAAGTCTCCCGCGTCACCACGGGCAAATACACCTCGCCCAGCATTAAACCGCGCAGAGTCCTTTTCATGTTGTCTAGGAACGCACCAACGGGAAACGGCCGATTGTCCGGCGCCACCCAAAAGTTGACGAGCTCGACGTATGTCAGACTGGGCCGGTAGGGCAGCGGAACGAAGTTGCTCAGCAGGCAGCTGGGCCCACACTGGCCAACCAGGTCAATCTCTCCCAGCCGCAAGAATGATAAATTCCTCGTAATGTTGCTGACATTAAAGGCTCGTTTACTGCAACCGCACTGCGTCCACTGTGGGCTGCAGCTCGGCAGGACCAACCGACCAGTGCTACCGCAATAGAAACCGTTATACGTATCGGGAAAGTTCACGCCGAAGGGAGCTGAGACTGTCGGTGTTGCTGTTTCAGCAGCGCAAGTTGCTGGAGATGGTGCAGCACACGATAACATCACAACAAAGGCAACGGGCTTAAACGATCGGTAATTCATTCTACTAAATGTTGCCAAACGGCAGTCCTCAGTCCGAGATAATGCACGATGGGACCACGAAAGGTATGTTTTTGATGGAGTAAAGTGACCGAGCAAAACGGCGTCTTTAGTCCGAATTGCCAACCATTTTAGCAAACGTGTCGTGTCGCTTTTCGCAATGCGGATGCAGTTAACGCGCTGACGTTAACTCGCTGAATAGCAAGCGCCGGCAGCGTTCTCAACATCACCCGTAAATTCATTGAGCGAACAGCAAGTACGGCGAACAGTGCACCAAATGTGAATGCTATCGCTAACCTAAAGCGTACAGATACGGGTGGTTCGCACTAATCAGTAATCAACCGGTATCGTTGCGGTGAGCAGAACGTCATGCAAGGTTCTTGCTCATAATTTTATTATACGTTAATCCGTGAAGCACAACACTAAAGCAATGTTTGCAACAGGAAGCGCATTCTAATCTCAGAGACAAAACGAGGTCTTGTGTTATCCAAATATAAAGTACGAATAAGGACACAAAACGCAACCATCGCACGACAAAAAGAATCAATTAGTTTGAACGCGGAACCAGGATTTAAACTAATATCGGAAGTCTGATGTCGTGAGCCGTCGACTCGGATTTCCTTGACCCATCGTGAATCGTGAACATGTCATGGTGAATCGTTCCGGCTTTTTCGGAAAAAAAACCTGTTTCACTCTCAAGCAAGGCGCTTCTGACTCAGAAGTTCTGAGTCAGCATTGCCGGCAACCATGTCATTGCCGTTTTCACGTTGCGCTTACCGTGGCACATTTATGATGTATCTATTGCGTCTTCGATCGTGTTTGCTCAGTTCCGGAAAGATGCCACCATCGGCAACAAAACATCGCGTGATTTCAGTTCGAACCCGTAGCATTGTCTGTGTTGAAGGTGCTCGTCATGCTGTTCATAATAATATTAGCCGGTTGCGCTGCGCCGGTAACGGCGGTGTTTTTGCGAGCAGATTCGGACAAATACGACCACTGTGCAGATTTGCACATAGGTAGATACGCATCCGATCTAATTCCTTAATAATACTTATGCCGCAGCTACGTTGTGCCGGCGTGCAACGATAAATGGCCCCGTTGCGGCTGCACAAGCTGGAGTAAAACGTCACAGACTCACAGTCATTTCCCGCTCATTAAAAGACTGAGTATTCAGCGGTTCGGAAGCGCAGTTCCTGCGGCGGAACCTGTTTGCTGACTACCTTTTCCCAGCTGCCGCAGCTGCCCAATCTAACCAGCGTCTGGCTCTGCGAGTTGTGGGTGGCGCCGGATGGCGGGCCCTTCCCACTCAATCGCTTCCTCATCAACGTCCAGGCGACCGTCACCGAGATGCGTCTCGCTGGCATCCAGATTCCCGCGCTGGCGCGCGAGACCTTCGCGGGAATCCCGCTACTGACGGAGCTGCAGCTGAAGAGTAACCGCTTATCGGCCATTTCGCTCGACGCCTCTGCCTCGCGCGGATTCCCATCGAAATCCACCGAAATCCACATTTACGAAGGGAATTTTCCAAATTCGACTGGTCAGTTTTTGTACCGGCCGAAAAAGCCTCGAGGAAGCATGTATCCGCTGTCGTTTTTTGGTTTGTTCTGCTGTACACACGCTGCCGGCTGCTATCGAAAGAAGAGCACAACGTTGACACAAAATCAGACTTTCGGCGCTTGTGCAGTGTAAAGAAACAAGCTTCATAGTAAAGAACATTTCTTTGTCGTAGGATGATTACGTTGATTATAAAATCTGGTTAGTGGTTTATATTATTTCCCTTACAATACGCGAAAGCCCTTCCGTGTCTGAGAATAAAATGCGTCAGTTTCGAAAAGGCGTCAATAAAAAAAGAGTTTCGCGTTGTACTTGTGTTATGTACCATGATATATATCTCAAGGAATAACAATTACTCATGGGGAATAAAAGTCTAGGAACGATTCCGGTTCATCAGTCAGGCCGAAACGTCCGTATAAGCAAGCGTTACACACTGAACTACGGCCTTGTAATTAATACGCTTTCTGCAAAAATCAGCTTTTCTTCTCCGCACCCGGACATTTGGGAGTGTGACATCTCGCCGTAATTAAATTCGACGCATGACTTTTTGCCGCGAAGACATTTCGCCGCGGAACATTTGGACGCAGAGACAATTCGATTTGGGACAGTTTGCATTGAGACATTTTAACTTTGCGACACTTTGACGCAAGACGTCTGGTCGCGGACACTTAACCGCAAAACAACTCGACACGCTAAATTTTCGCGGGTTTTCCGGGTTTCTTGGTATGTTTCCTTAGGTTTTCCTAGGCTTCTTAGGGTATTCATATATTATTTTCAGATTACTCTTAGGTTATTTTTAGGTTTCTTAGGTTAATGTTATTTTATGCTAGGGCGATTTTCAGGTTTCTTGTTTTGTGTCCCTTAGCCTTCGTACTTTGTTGGTTGCCTCAACGTTTGCTTAGTTAGTTTCTTTTGGGTTCCTGAATTTTTTCTGAGGTTTTCCTGACAGTTTCAGTAAGCCTAATTAAACATTCGCCTGCCAAAAAGGACCTCTCATCATAACTGCTTCTCGGCGAAATGTCTCGGCGTCGAGACGACCTTCCGACGAAATGTCCCTCCACGAAACGTCGCGCGGCGAGATGATCTAGCGGAGTAATGTCTGTGACCAAAAGTCCTGCGACTACAGTAGTTGTCCTCGGCGAAATGTTGCGATGCCAAACGGCACTGAAGAGATCTATTTGAGTCGGTTTTTCACGATGCCCAGTGTTGAACGGATCCAGCTATCTGGCAGCCAGCTTATGCGCATTGACAAACTTATGCGCTTCCTGGCCAGTTGTGTCCAAACAGGAATCTTGGCCGTGTCTCCAGCTGGACTTCAACCGCTTTTGTGTGTGCGGCGCGGATTGCGGGTGCCCGGAGCTGGACAATGTGTGGGACCGGTTCACGAAGCCTCCACGCCGCTGGCAAATCTACGTGTCGGATCGGTTGGCATGCGGAAACTATATCAATAGGACCGAGCAACCCGAGTTTATTTCGAGGTTCCTGCCCAGCGTGATGAAAACCAAGAGCTGGTCGTCGGGATGGGATTCGGACTGCGCGCAGCGACGGATGTATTATGCTGATCTGGTAGTGCTCTTGCCACGGGCACATCGCAAGAACACTGTCGAGGATCCGAAACCAGCGGTGTTAGACTATCTGTGCGAAATGGGTAGTGTGCTGTAATTTGTATAATTTAAGCAAATGGTCGTTCCGAAATAATTATTTCCGGCGCATTCCAGCGCCGAAAAACTCAGTGAACTTTCAGTAAGCAAAACAAAATTCTCGATAACGCCACTGTGCTGCATATAATCAACTGAACGTGAGAAACACAGACAGTTATGATTTGTTGCATTTGAGAAAATTATTCCAGCAGTGCAGCTGTCACGATGCGCTCTTCAGTGCCTAGTAAATAAAGAACTGTGGAAATAAATTATCTGTTTCCTCTCTTCCTCTTATCAAATTCTTTTCTCGTTCTGGTCGCGCGGTTCTGCGTCTAACTCAGATACATAAATAATAGATGCATAATTAAATACATCATATAAATATCGAAATAATTTTTTTTTGCGTCACCTACTACTTTAATTCAAAGATATGACAGTATTAACCAGACACTACTGCTACAAAATTAGGTACTACCAAAACATCCAATACCATCATTAGCAAAATAATTAGCATCATCGAAATAATTATAATAATAATAATAATTAGCATAATAATAATCAAGCGCGCCAGCGAAGCGAGCGAAGCGTTTTTAATTTAAAGTGTGTAACGGGGCGAACCGGCGAACCGGGTTGCCGGGGTCCAGGGGCGGAGCCCCAATAAGCAGGGGGTGCGAGGGGCGCAGCCCCCCGCTAAAGCAATTGAGAAGGTAGTTTAAAATGGAAAACCTAACCGGGTTACAATTGACGGACCCAATGGGGGAATGTGTGTTCGACCGTAAATTTGGACCCAGTACAAACGCTTAGACCGGTCCGTGTGGTGGTTTTTTGGGAAACCGTAACGTAAATTGTAGCCGGGTCATTATTGACGAACCCGCAGGAGTAATATGCGGGGGATCCGGAAATTTGGACCCGGTCCGGATTTTTTTAGCGGCCCCAGGGTGGTGCAGTTTTGGGCAGAAGTGGCTCAATCTGTACCAACATTGGATTTAAACGTCACTGTCGCGTTGCGGACCAAGATTCGCGTTGCGCATCCGTTCGTTGCATAAAGTTCAGCATACCGTATACAAAGGGCGCAACGCCGCAACCGGCCGCAACAGTGTTAGCCCGTATGCTGCACTGGTCTGCTGCAGCAACAGCCGCAACACGGTTGCCGCACCGCAGCACCGTGCTAGCCCGTACAGCTGATTCTGCAGTAACGTTGCATACCGCAACACGGCGAACAACGTAGCACGTGCACCGTTGCCGTAACGTTACTGGAAGTAAGCAACACGGCGAGTAACGGTAAAGCCGGCCGCACCGGTGCTGCTGGTTAAGGGTAATGCAACAGTAACTTGGCAACCGCATGGGGTAAAGCACTCCGCAATCCGTGCCGCGGTACAGCCGCACTGGGTTCCAGAACGCTAACAGTCAGCAACGACGCATTTATAACGTAGTTGTCGCAATCGTTAAACTGCATGTCGCACTGGTTAACGCCGGCACGCAACGACGAAGTTTGTCAGCCGCGAACGGTCAGCAATCAGGCTAGCTCGGTATAGGCGTAACGTCAGCAACAGCTAAACGACGGCTTTATAAGTCAGCAACGGCAGAACGGTGCCGCAAATGCGCAAGCCGCAGTTGCGCCAACGTCGCCGCAACATCGGTTTGCGTCAGCGAACGTGCAGAACCGCAAACCGTGCAAGTTGTCCGCTGCGTACCAGCCGTTTAACGTCCGTTTGGGCTTTACCGTATTGCTGCGGCGTTGAAGAGATCCCAGCGCAGCATACGGGCCAGCCACAGCCGCGCCGTTGCGAACGTTGCTTATAGTCGTGCGGCTGTCGCGGCGTTGCAACAACCAGGCAGCATACGGCCAGTTAACGGTTGCGGCCCGTTGCTGCACCGTTGCGGTTTATAAGTCGTGTTGCGGCTGTTGCGGCGTTTGCAACAACCCAGTGCAGCATACGGCTAGCACGGTTGCGGCCCGTTGTCGCAACGTTGCGGCTTTATAGTCTGTTGCATTGTTGCGGCGTTGCACCCAGCGCAGCATACGGCTAGCACGGTTGCGGCCCGTTGCCGCACGTTGCGGCTTTGTCGCGTGTTGCGGCTGTTGCGGCGTTGCAGTCCAGTGCAGCATACGGCCAGCACGGTTGCGGCCCGTTGCTGCGCCGTTATGGCTTTATAGTCGCGGTTGCGGTTGTTGCGGCGTTGCAGCAGCCCAGTGCAGCATACGGGCTAGCACGGTTGCGGCCCGTTGCTGCACGTTGCGGCTTTTAAGCCGTGTTGCGGCTGTTGCGGCGTTGCAGACCAGTGCAGCATACGGGCCAGCACGGTTGCGGCCCGTTGTTGCACGTTGCGGCTTATAAGCCGTGTTGC